AGAACAACGCAAGAGTAATTCAAGCTCTGCAGAAACAGTCAGCAGAAGACATGTATCTGCTGTTGTATACGAAAAGTGAGACGTCTCCTGAAACGTCAAGAAGTTCGAATGAAGCAAACGGTCGCAGCGGGCGTGCAATACCATCGTCACTGATTGATAGTGAGGCAATAACCCTCGAAATGCGCCAACAAGACCCAGATCGTTTAGCCGAATCCATACGATTGTTCATTGAGAATAATTTTTGGTTGCGCGGTTCTGTTGAATATGTGGATTCTGATGGAGATTTTGTTAAGTTGGAAGATGACGAATCATATCTGGTTGGTGTTTTGGTTAATAATTTTAAAAATTCATTTAGATTCCATTGATCACAACACACTGCCCAGTGATGCGTTTTTCATAATGAGTCGATAGCATACTGAATGTATGCTATGGAAGAATTTGTGTATCTTGGAGATAGGCGCGGTGTCTGAGTAGATGATCAGTAAAGTATGTTTGTGAAATTGAGAGAATTTGGAATTGTTGAGGGGTGTGTTCGATATCATTCAATGAACTTTTACTGCTATCGACTGAAGGGATATTCAGTTCCGTCGTTGATTGATTTGTTGAATATGGGAATGAGCTAATCACTTAGCATGGAAACCATATATGGATAAGTAAAAGATAAACTAATATGGTTAACTAATACAGCATTATAATGAAGAAGGTGATCGGCTGATGGAGGTAATGTTAATAATGTAGTAATGACAACAATACTATATAATTGCAGGCAGCAGTCTGTGATATTATGTCGAACGGAGACAATGTGATGATTACAGTGATTGACGGAAGCTACAAATATGGAAGCGATTTCAATCAGGAATATACGAATCTTTTATCACCTCTTCCTCCCGAACCCGAGCCGGAGGAAACGCGTCCGAATGCCCAGGAAGAACCAGGAGTTGCAATTTTGTCACCGTGCCCACTATGTGAGTGGCGCAGTCGATCAGGTGATTCAGCGGTGGATGTAAATAACCGAGGAGATCTTGAAAAGATTTTGGTTGAATCCGTAGTGGATAAAGTAAGTGCTATGAATTTGTGGGCGATTATTTTTATTCGTAATATTTTTGTTTTCGTGGAGTGCAGAAATTCACAGCGCGTATTCATATTTTGTTTTTGTTGTTATTTGAAAATGAAGATTTCCGTAGGAAATAAGAAACTTTTGAGAGGGTCTATTTGATTGCAATTTAATTCAATTTAGAGCAAAAGAATGGAATTTTCATTTGTGTTAGTTAAAGTGAAATTTATTCAGCAGTTCAGTTTCATTCTCCTTCTCATTCAGTGCAAGTTTCAGGTCCGGGATGAAATCCGCTCTGAAGTGGCAAGTCAATTGGATGAGCGTCTCCAATCACTCAGCTTAACATCATCTCTCTTTTCAACTGACAAATGGGCTGTACCTTCGGCTCCACCCGTCGAGGAATCACGAAAAGAAAATGGTCAGGATGGAAAAATCGCTCAAAATCTCCTTTATAATGCAGATGATGAGGATTTACTGGTGAAACTGAGCGAAGGTTATCTGAAGAACGATGATTCTGATGTGGATATTGGTCAGGGTATTCTGTACGAGACTGCAGGGAATCTAAATATTCGCTCTGGATCAGATGCAACCATAGTGAATGAGCATCTATCATCACACATATCAAGTGGAACGCTTCAAGAAGAAAGCGATGCGGGGAACGGAAACGCCTCAAAGCGAATTGAAGATTTAATGGTTCCTGCAGAATGTGTTCCGTTTCATCAAAGTGTTGACGGTGGTGATTCGGCAACTGAGACTGAATATCCGTCGGAGAAGGAGAATGTGAACGAAATATCCAAAAGTTCATTTTCATCGATTGAACAAGATCCATCGTCCTTTGCGGCGGAAGGTTCGATGTGCACAACTTCAGAAAGTTTGAGAGCGCAGAAAATGTCAGTGAGGGATTGGATTTACGCATATAACAATAATGGGGAGTGCGATTCGATAAGAATCTCTCAGTATACAACAAACGAAGACGCGGATAATGATTCAGATATCGATGAAAATGAGAAGCGAGATGAAGAATTCGAGAAGTTTGACGTATCTGAGAGATCCGAAGCAGAGCAGCGAAACGAGGATCAAGGAGAAACTGCATTATTGGAGTGTTCGGTAGATCAACAGAAACCGAAGAATGCGAAGGTTGAACTTATGGATGGAATGGCGAAAGACTCATCCGATGCGGATACTGAAGTTGTTGTGCCACAGAAGGATTCAGAAAGCAACTCGAAGCCTCCGTCAAGATATGAGCAGCAAGATCAGAAGATTATAAGTGAACACCCTGAGCATGACTGGGGAACACCCAGTGATCCGGTGGTGATGCACAGCTTGGAAGATTCGTCTTTCGTCTGTTTGAGTGCCGGTTGCGACTTTTCAGTGAATGCTTCGTCAATAGCGACAGCGAACGATCCTTCAGAGTTGTTTAATCATGATCCCAGTCATACGCTAATTCGTCTAGGAGCTGGCGTTCGACCGGAAAATTTGCAGTCATTCTTGTTGGCCGAACAGCAGAGAAAACTCTCGAAAAGTGCCATCTTTGGAGCGCAGCTACCACCAGACGTGTTCACACAGCGGTATGGACGACTCTCAGTTGATGGTCAGAAAATGAAACAAGGTCAACCTCATCATCAACAAAGCAATCACGATGTCGTGAAAGATCAGCGTCGAGCAGATGGCAGTGGCAGTTTCTGGGCAGCTCAGTTGGAGAGTGAAGGTGAGGTGGCATTGATGAGTGTAATTGATGACCAGAGAGGAGCGTTTGGTAAACAATGGGTTGTAAAGAACTGTGGCAATATCAAATGGCACAACGTTTCGGTAAGTTTCGTTTGCATGTTTTGATAATAGTATCACAGTAATTGAAGTAGGAATGTTATTATGAAGTTAAGAAATTCAGCAACGGTTAACGTAACGTTCATCATGCTCTTAGTTGATCGTATTATGATTTGGTTCATTTACTTACTAGTTACTCGATGTTTTATTCGTTTTTATTCGGTCATATCATTGCTCTTATTTTACTGTTATTATTATTTACGTTATGAAAATAATCACTGTTATTAGAGTATTGTCACTATCGCCATACGAACTCTTATTGTCATTCATATTGCAGTTGGAACTGAAGTATCACACCCCGAATCTGGAACCTCTGTTCTGTTCAATTTGCCAGCCGAATTCACTGAACATTGGTCGTACAATGGACATAGTGATCTGGATGAATGCCCCACTTCAATTGGGCAACAATGAGCCGTGTCGTGCAGTTTGGCGTCTTGCAAAGCCCATTTCCGCACCATCTCCGGCTGATAATCAAAATTCAGAGTCTGAAGCAGCAGCAGCAACGATATCTGGAGAAGTAAATCATCCTCACTCGGTGGCGAAAAGATTCTTTGGACCACATTTCATCTTTCAAATGGGTGATTCGGATGATTCAGTGACGTCGGATTTCTCGATATTGGTTGGTTTTTCGATTTTATCCGTATTCATCTTGTTTGGTTTGATTTTTAAAAAATTTTTCTATTCACGCTCATTTGTACACCGTTTCTTCGAGTGAACAAGTTGTTTTTTATTTTTGGAAAAATATTATGACGGGTTTTGTTTTATATTTATCATCGTTGTTATGATTGTCATCATTCTGAGTATGATTTGTGTTTCTGAGACTGAATGTTCATATTTCCAACAGCTTTAGTC